TGAACCCGGGGGATTTTTACTTTCTTCTGCAGCGTGTGGGTGCAGGTCACTTGCCAAGATTATCTAGCTATATCTCACTTAATCATTTCCCTGCCATTGCAGGGCCTTGGGCACTGGTGCACCTTGGTACCTCCTATTCTCTGCCCGTGGCACATAATAGTCTAGTCTCCTGTGGCAGGTTGTAATTCTTTGTTCTAATTTTGGTTGTTGGGTTTAGTGTGTGGGTGCCTGGTGGCGTTGATGGCCTGTGATATACAGGAGGTCGGATGAGATGATCTGGTGGTCCCTTCTGGCCTTAAACTCTATGACTGTAATTATTGGTATTTTATTATAAATGATGACAAAAATTCATTATGTAACTGTAGGCATGGAGATTAGTGTACAAATGGAATAATTGCATGAATTGAAATAGACAAACACAGGACAAATCACAAAGTTCATATTCAGCCCCTTCTTAATCAAAACTCTCAGGGAAATCAATGGGAGTTTTTACCTGAACAAGGGGCTAAGTAAAAGTTATGGATTTCAGGATTCGGTCCACAATGAATAGACTGAAGGATCCAACACCATGAGTATGATGATTTTGCATTCATACTTTCATAATCAATGCTCATTTAAGTGAAAATACATTTGTCAGTTGGGAATGCCAGTCCTTTATCAGAGGTGGATCAGTGCATTCTTTCTGGTTTGTGCATCATCTTCAGTAATAAAAGTTTCTGCAGGCCAAATTCTGCCTTCAGTTACATCTGTATAGTCTCATTGTCCTCAGTTATGGACTGGATTGCACAGGAGTAGGGTTGTACAGGTGTAAGTAAAGACATACTTTGAAGACATCATTGAACAGATGGCCTTATCAATTGAGTTAATATAAGAATTGCCATACTGGGTCAGATCAATGGTCCTTCTAGCCCAGGATCCTGTCTTCCGAAGTGTCCAATGCTAGGTGCTTCATAGGGAATAAACAGATCAGGGCAATTATTAATCCATCCCCTCTTATCCAGTCCCCGTATTTGCCAGCCAGAGGCTTTGGAACATCCAGAGCATGGGGTTGCATCCCTGACCATCTTGGCTAACCGCCATTAATGGACCTATCCTCCATGAGCTTATCTAATTCTTTTTTGAACCCAGTTATAGTTTTGGCCTTCACAACATCCCCTGGCAATGAGTTCCACAGGTTGCTGTGCGTTGTGTGAAGAAATACTTCCTTACACTTGTTTTAAACCTGCTGCCTATTAATTTCATTGGGTGATCCCTGGTTCTTGTGTTAACTAGGTGACCAGACAGCAAGTGTAAGAAATCGACACAGGGGGTGGGGGGTAATAGGTGCCTATATAAGAAAAAGCCCCCAAAATCAGGACTGTCCCTATAAAATTGGGATATCTGGTCACCCTAGTGTTAACTGAATAGGTAAATAACACTTCCTTATTCACTTTCTCCACGCCATTTGTGATTTTATAGACCTCTAGCCTACCTCTCCTTAGCTGTCTCTTTTCCAAACTGAACAGTCGGTCTTTAATCTCTCCTCATATGGAAGCTGTTCCATACTCTAAATCATTTTTGTTGCCCTTCTCTCTACTTTCTTCATTTCTAATACAGTAACTCCTCACTTAACGTCATCCCGGTTAACGTTGTTTCATTGTTACATTGCTGATCAATTAGAGAACATGCTAGTTTATAACGTTGTTTGGCAGCCGCCTGCTTTGTCCACTGCTTGCAGAAAGAGGAACCCATTGGAGCTAGCTGGTGGGGGGCTTGGAACCAGGGTGGACCGGCAACCCCCCATCAGCTCCCCTAAGTTCCCTGTGTGGCAGCCACCCAGCAGGCTATCAATTGCCGGGCAGTTCAGTTGTCCCTCCCCCCATTGCCATGTGCTGCTCCTGCCATCTGCTTTGGAGCTGCTCCCGGGAGCCTTCTGCTTGCTGTGCGGGGGGGGGGGGGGGGGGGGGGGGGGGTGGAGGGGGCTAATGTCAGGGGGTCCCCCTCCCCTCCCCCATCTCCACAGAGCGGGGAGGGGGGGAACATGACAGGGCTCAGGATGGAGGGAGCTTTTGGGCAGCAGCAGCTGTCTCAACTTGCTGATCTACTTAGGGCTTGTCTACACTTACATTTTATAGTGCTCTAACTTGCTGGCTCAGGGGTATGAAAAATCACCCCCCTGAGCGCAGCAAGTCTGGAGGTGGATTACCAGGAGCACTGAGAGAGCTCTCTCCCAGCACTCATGCGCGACCACACTCACAGTTCAAAGGGCTGCTGGGGGAGCATTCCCGGGGCAGCGCTTTGAAGTTTCCAGTGTAGACATACCCTTAGAGTGGGGTCAGTGTACCTAAAGGGGCAATGCGTCTCTCTCTCTCTCTCTCACAGGGTGTCTCTCTGTCTCTCTCTGCCATGCTGTCTCCCCTCCCTCCATTCCTGCTGCCTTGTAGAGTGTGAGGCTACATTAACAACATGTTAACCCTTGAGGGCTCAGCCGAGTACTAGTTCATCATTTAGCAGTAAGGCATTCCCTGGGAAATATCCCACCCTCTTCCACCCACTGACTTCACCACCTCAACCAAGCTTCAAAATTTTTTAAATTGTTTAAAATTTATACTGCATGTGTGTATAAAAAATATTTCCCTGGAACCTAACCCCCCCATTTATGTTAATTCTTATGGGGAAATTGGATTAGCTCAACATCGTTTTGCTTAAAGTAGCATTTTTCAGGAACATAACTACATACCCCTACCCCCCCCCCCCCCCCCCCCCTCACCCCCCCGCCCCCCCCCCCCTCCACCCATTCCCCCAAGGCTGCACTCCCACCCCACCTCTTCCCATCCCTGCTCCACCCCTACCCCTCCTCTTCCTGCCCCCTCCCCCGAGCACACCCCATCCCTGCTCCTCCCCCTTCCTCCCAGTGCCTCCTGCATGCCGGGTAACAGCTGTTTCCCAGCATGCAAGAGGTGATGGGAGGGAGGGGAGAAGATGAGATGATCAGTGGGGCTGATGGACCCCCAGGGGTCTGCAGACCCCAGTTTGAGAAACGCTGCTGTATCATATACATCACCTATTGCTAAAGCACGCATGTGGTTAAACGTCTGCCAGCAATTCTATCCTGAAATATCCAAACCCAGTACCAGTTCAGTGTTCCTGCAGTTGCTTGGTATTGTTATGGACCAATTCTCTATCTTGCCCAAGCTATTCCTAGGCCTACTTTACTTGTGCTAACTCGCTTAAGCCAATGTCTTACAGGACACAGGCCCGTAGGTTCCTTGCGTTACATAAAAGGCTAAGCTAGCTCTATGGGCTACAGTTTACTGTCTTTTAACCAGTTACTGATCCATCAGAGGACCTTCCCTCTCATCCCAAGACTGGCTGGCAACAGTTGCCAAGGGACCATAGTCATAACGGGAGCACAGTGCACATGGCCATTGCACCTCCTTGTCTCCTATGCCAGAGCCAGACTGGAACAGAATGTCAGCTCTACATCAGCTAAAAGCTTCCCTATGCTGAGGAAATTCTCATCTGCTAAGAGCTGGTGGCTTTCCAGTGGCACAAAGGGGCCAGAATGAAACACAGAATCTGACTCAAACAGTTTATCTTCATTCTTAAACCTATCCCCAAGAGTAGATGGAGTATATATGTACTATCACTAAATATTCCAGAGCAATAGTTACACATTTTCAAAAACTTTATTTTAAAAAGGCATTCACAACACCTCAAAAATATAATGTGGTAGCTGATAATTTTACAAAAAATGTAAAAAATATATATACAAAGTAATAAGGTAATTAAAATAAAATAAAAAACCCCACAAAGACATCCACTTGCATTACCAGTTAGAAATGACCAGTTGCATTAATTTAGCAGCTTGAACTGTGCTCATAAAATATTGTGTGTTTCCTGGTTTCATTACATACTTTCTGGCCATACAGTTTTTTGATTATGTCATTACAAAAAGGAATATTTCCATGCAGCATCATACATTGCATTAGAAGTTCACACTTTAACTTCTGATAGAGATTTTATATCTATGGTACAAGTCTAAATATGTCTACGCCCGGCTAATGAGGCAGCTCATGGTATCCGACACCATCAGGTGGTCCAGAGACATTTATACGGAACACATCACAGGACACTGTCAATACCACATTGAGTAACCGAGACCGCCGACCAGGGAAATAACCCACTTCCTTCCCTGACGGACCCAGGGACGCACCCCACCCATGTACTTATCCGCTACACCGATACTGACTTTGACTCCTTATTCATTCCATGGGTGGCGTACCTTAGCCCACCTATCCACTGACACTTTAAAACCCTTGCACCCCAATCTGGGTCTATGCAGGTTATGTGATAAATATGTACCTTTTCATCCTTGCAAACGATACCTGTAAGCCCCCATAACCCAAGCCTGACCCCAGATGTACAGTACCTTGCCTCTTAACTCATGTATATTTTATTTTAAACATTCACTTTAATAACATTTTTATTTCTTAATACCTTATACCAGTGGTCCCCAACCTTTCCGTGTGGCAGGCGACGGACGACTAGCCGCCGAGGAGCGTGGCTGCTTGTCCGGCGGCCAGTAGGCGGGTGCACATAGATGCCCCAGCAGGCGCGATGGCGCCTGCGGGCACCGCATTGGGGACCACTGGTATAATCGCTGGTAAAATGTGGGTCTGGATAGAGAATCTTGCCTGTATGCTCGGGGTTCTACTGATCGCCATATTTGGGGTCGGGAAGGAATTTTCCTCCAGGGTCGATTGGCAGAGGCCCTGGAGGTTTTTCGCCTTCCTCCGCAGCATTGGGCAGGGGTCGCAAGCTGGAGGATTCTCTGCGACTTGAAGTCTTTAAATCACGATCTGGAGACTTCAACAGCTGAGTTAAGGGAAAGTGGGTGGGTCAGCTTTTGTGGCCTGCATCATGCGGGAGGTCAGACTAGATGACCATAATGGTCCCTTCTGACCTTTAAGTCTATGAGTCACTGCCTATACTATTTTAATCATCAAGTGAAATCCTGGCTCCAATGAAACATATGGCAAAAGTCCCATTGACGAAGGCCATACGTATAAGTCAACCTAACTTATGTCGGCATACAGCTGTCGCAATAATTACACTGCTTGTGCGTGTCCACACTTTGCTCCTTGGGTCGTAGTGCGCATCCTCACCAGGAACACTTGTATCAATTGTACTGTAAGTGTGGGGCATTTTAAAATGGCTCCTGAAAGCCAGTAATAGTCAGCATAAGCAATGCAGAGTCTAGAGTGACTCTGTGTTAACCTAACTATATCAATCTTGAGCCACACGTGGAAGTGGAGTTATTAAGTCGGCTTAGCAACGCAATTACATCGGTGGGAGAGAAATGTAAGTCTAGACACTTCCATAGCTAGGTCGATGTAAGCTGCCTTGTGTCAATATAACTCTGTAGAGTAGACCAGACCTTAAATGGAACCAACATTTCACCTTCAGTGTTTTGCAATGAAATATGCTTTGTGGAAAAATAATAATGCCTTATTTTATACTTCATACTTTTAAAAGAGAGTGCACTTTCTGGATCTGAACCCACCAAATGTGCTATGACCATCTACTAGTTGGCTGGTCCCTGTTTCACTATAGATTGAAGTAAATGCTGAATTTGTTTAAACATTATCAATATAGGAGATACAGTTCAGGAACAATGTCAGTTTTCATTCTTTTCCCATGGTTTTCACTTGATCAGCTTTCTCTGCATAATCAGCTTCTGTGTACGATTAATTCATTTACAGGAATGCAGCATTACTCTATTGTTTGCAATGGTTAAAACATATTGCAAAGTAACCCCCCATATAGAGCAGGCCTTCCAGAGACTGCTTGTGGAGATTACTTTGTGGTGAGACCACCCATATGGTAACATCATTATTTCTGTTTCTCATGGTGAATTTTTGGTAAAGGTTTACTACTTATTAACACTTAAAGCAGACTTGTCTGTGGACGACAACGTGTGAGAATTCACAAAGTTTAATAACCGGCATATACTGTTGATACATATATTTACCTTCAGATCTGTACTTCGCTTTTATGTGTGTGAAATACAGCTAGTATTGTACACTAAAAGCTTGTCTGCACAACGGGTTTAGTTTGTTCTCAGCTGATGCGTACCAGTTGGTGCCCAATACATAACTTGCTCTAACAGCATGCATATGGGACAGTTGTGCCTTCTTTCAATTTGCATCATTTCGTACACATGGTGGAGGCTTTGTGCATACTAAGCGTGTGGCATTTTGGGTGAGTATCTGATAGTCCTTTGCTTTGCTGTTGAGCTGTGTGCATTCTGGGATTTCTCTCGCTGCACACTGTGAAATGCATTGCAGAAACCAGTGGAATTCTGGGACTTGAGGTAAAATTCAGAATTCCATGATTTTGCTCCATCTACCCTGATTCGATTCCTCTCTATCAGGGAAGGCTAGCACCATTTTTGAACTGCTGTTGGCCAGCATGGAGGCAACAATGATCCACACCACAATTCTGGCAACTATGAGTATACGCAGAGGCTGTCTGGACTTTATTTGAGCTCAGAGTGCTGGGTGGCTTTAGCCTCCAATCAACAAGCAGCTGCTGTGGCTACCCAGCAGCAGTAGCAGAGGAACGAGCAGGACATCGAGCAACTGCTACTGAACTCTTCCTGGAGCAGCTTCACTTGGTGCTGTGCCATTTCTGGCTCAGGAAACCAGCACTGATTGGTGGGGCAGGATTGTTCTGAGGATCTGGGATGACCAGCGGTGGCAACAGAATTTCAGAAGAGTGAAGGCAATCTTTTCCGAGATCTGTGCTGAACTAGCTGCAGTGCCACCATACCAACGTGTAAAGTCCCATAACCCACTGTGAAATGGGTTTCCATCACCATCTGGAAGCTGGCCACCCCAACTGTTACTGGTCCATAGCCAACCAATTTGATGTGGGGCGATCGACTATTGGAGGCATTGTCATGCAGGTGTGTGCTGGCATGCAGAAGGTACTGTTGCACCAGGTTATAAATCTTGGTAATGCTCAGATTATTGATGGCTATGCATGTAAGGGTTTCCTGAATTGTACTGGGGCAACTGATGGGGCCCACATGCCTATCATTTGACCCCACAAAGCAGTGTGGGACAGATGTTGGAGGAGTGCTAAAGTAGCACATAGCAACATTGTGCAGACATGAGCGATAGTCTGCACTAACTCAGTTTTCACTGAACTTAGTACACTTTGACGGAGGACTCCAGAATTGCACCAAGTTAAGAGTTAGGGTTTGCCTCATGTGTACATAGGTATTTTCAATCTGCACTAACTTGAGTTAGACTGGACTAAACCCCTTGTGTAGAGAAGCCCTAAGCTACCAAAACACTGTTCATTAATACATGAGTCCTGCATGCTTTTATAACATACAGGCATATATTTAGAATGTAAAAAATGCAGAGTTCATCAGAAGCTGAATTGTATGTTCAAACGAGAAAGAGATACTCTGAAACATGACCAATTGTTTATTCATGTTTTATAAAGTGGTTCTTGCTTTCACCAATTCATCTCCTTATGTATTCAGAATCTGATGCATCACTTTCATCCGAGACACTAGGTTTTTGCCATTCGTGTGAGATGTTATGACAAACTGGCTTCTTAACATCTACTGTGTTAGTAAAAAATTTTGATTCAAGTGCATCAGAAGCACTAGAATCTTGCAAGTCAACTGCATCCTTTTGGTGGGAGATTAATGTTGCAGAATCATCCCAGGTCTTGTCAGGGTCTCCCAGCATCACAGTATTTAAGTTTATGTTAAAGCAAGCACTGTTACTTAACTCAGAAGTTGAGGAACTGTTTACTTCAGATGAAGGATGAAAGAACACTCTACTTGTGCTTTCATTTTCTCTAATGACAGATTGATGCTCTTCGGAATTTTCTGTGTCAGAATTCAGAAGTTCAGTTGCTTGACTGCTACTCTCTGCAGATGTACAGTCTATAGTCTGGTGCACGAAGGTGTTTGATTTGGCATGGGAACTTGGAACTCTGCCCAAGATGACATGTCTGGTATATTCACCAGAATTTTCACTATCACTTTCGCTATCATCATCATAACAGTATTCCCACTCCTTTTTTTTCACCTCCTTATACATGACTTGTACAGAGCACACATTTTCAGGATCAGGTTCATGCACTGAGCAATGTAATTTATTTGTGGTTTCCTAAAAAAACAAAACAAAACAAAAACACACACACAAAAATTACACACAGATAAGAGTATAAGAAAGTAATCTTGTTATTTACTTTAACAACTGCCTCACCACTTTGCACTTATACTAGTACACAGGCGAAAGTGTTCAGAAGTCAATGGATCACCCCAATAGAAATGTTTTGGCATTATCTTTCAAAGCTCTGAGAATCCAGAAGTCTTCCCCCTCCTGCACTCAAAAAAGAATGGCATCTTGCTCCAAAACAGAAACACAGAGAACTGGATAGACTCTGCAATTGCGTATTCGTTCCAAATAAGATCAGAAATGACCTTATGCTTTTCGCCAAAGAAAACCCCAGATGGAAGGCACTGTGTTTTCAAGATGTACTTTTGTGGGATTTTCTCTGTTGAAGAGTGTCAAATATATTTTGTGGCAAGGTTTTGAAGAACAAGGAAAAGGGGAGGGAAAAGAAAAGTTTCCAGCTCTCTTTGCAGAGACAAATTTCCAGGACTGAAAGCTCATCTTTGAAAAGAAAATGGGTTCAGCGGGTAGTCCTGAAACTCTTCAGTACACTGCTTAACTAATGCTTTATATTTCCTTCTTGGAAGCTAAGGATCAACTTTTAAAGCCCTTTTAATATTTGCCACCTGTACAAAATCTTATATGTATGTATAATATCCTAGCTGTATGAATTCTGTAAAAGACATTTTCTCTCATAACAAACCTGAGAAAGATTGTTTTAGTCAAAATATGTGAGACAATGTACAATGTATTTCACCAATTAAATTTCCTTTTTTCTACTAGTCTCACCATTAATCCCCAATCATGGATTTTGTCTTCATCTGTACAGTGACTGGAGACAGTTACTTTAAAGTCTATGCAGGGGATGTTGGCCCTGCCTACCTGGCCAACCACCAGAAGAGTTATTCTAAACCAGGGGTGGGCAAACTTTTTGGGCCGAGGGCCACATCTGGGTGGGAAAATAGTATGCAGGACCGGGGCAGGGGGTTGGGGTGTGGAAAGGAGTGTGGGGTGTGGGAGGGGGTGCAGTGTGCAGGAAGGGGCTCAGGGCAAGGGATTGGGGCAGAGGAGGGGTGCAGGGTGTATGAGGGGGCTCAGAGAAGGGGGTTGGGGTGCAGGAGGGGTGTGGAGTGCAGGAGGCGGCTCAGGGCAGGGGTGCAAGTGGGGTGCGAACTGCGAGAGGGGGCTCAGGGCGGGGGGGGGGGGGGCGGGGGGGGGGCGGGGTACAGGAGGGGTTCGGGCTCCAGCCCTGCTTACCTCAAGCGGCTCTGGGGTGGCAGCGGTGCACACTGGGGCCAGGGCAGGCTCCCTGCACACCTGTCCTGTCCCTGGCCCTGCGCCACTCCAGGAAGTGCTGCGGCCCCTGGGGGAGGGAGGGCAGAGGGCTCTGCGTGCACTGCCCTTGCCGTGCCTCCAGGTACCTCCCCCGAAGCTCCCATTGGCCGCGGTTCCCAGTTCCCGGCCAATGGGAGCTTCAGGGGGCGGTACCTGGAGGCAAGGGCAACGCATGGAGCCCTCTGCCCCCCTGCCCGAGGGCTGCAGGGACGTGGTGCCGGCGGCGCCGTGCGTCGGATCCAAAGCCCTGAGGGGCTGGATCTGGCCCGCAGGCCGTAGTTTGCCCACCTCTGTTCTAAACCTATAAGTACGTAAGTGTTTTCCAGCTTTGACACTTGGTAGTTAATGACAGATTTTGTCATACGTTTGTAGTTGGCTATGAGAAAACATAGCAATTCTAGAATACTCACATGCTAATTTCCTTTCTTCTAGTGAAATTTCCATTCCATTCTCTAGCATAAACTCTCCCCTAATCCTCACTGATATAAGAATACACTAATAAATTATGAAAGAGAGACTGAGGGGATAAGAGAGAAATCCTGAATCCTGTGGCATATCTATTTTGGAACCACTAGTTAGAGCACACTCCTGGGGATGATTGCAGATCCAGTTTATAACATCTGATATACGAGGAATCTGAAGGCCAGACTTCTTCTGTGTATATCTATTTCAGCAAAGATGTTCTTTGCTTGGGAGACTGCTGATGACATTGTAGATCAAGTTCAGGTTTCCTCAGGAATGACGTACCCTGAAGACTTGTATGCTTCCTCAAAGCAACATCTTATCCACCTGGCCAAAGAAGCCCTTCATGACTTGTCTCCTTCACACCCTGGGTGTAATGACATAAGTAAAATACTGGGCTCTTATTCAGTGTGTGATAGATCGATTGTAAGAGCTCTTTTCCACATTTCATCCAGAGTTTTGTCTTTTCTTATGAAGGTGCTGAATTTTTAGCACTTCTTGGTCTCCAGTTCTCTTGTGGACAATAAAAAATATGAAGAACAGCTTTGGGAATTTTTCTGCTGTTGGCCCTCCAGAATGACAGGGGACGAGATCTCCTGCATAATTAGCATGTGTCTTTCCTGACTTCTGAACTTTGGGGACTGGGACATCATAGGTTGGTATGAAATTCTAGGGCATTTACTTCCCCTCTCTGTGTCTGTTTTTCCTCCACATCTTTGTGTACCTTGTCTATTTAGAGTGTCAGATCTTCAAGGTGTCCATAGATTTTAAATTGTGACTTCATGCCATAAAGGCTCTAGCCAAACCAGCAGAAAATAGAGCCACTTTCAGGGCAGCTGATGATTCAAACTCTTTTCTCAGGAAGAGCTCTGCCTCTGGTAACAGGGTTTCTCTCTCTCTCTCTCTCTCTCTCTCTCACACTCTCTCTCTCTCCACCTGAGACAATACCTACATTCTTTGGCAATGAAGCCACCTCAGCTTCAATTCTCAGAATCTTTGTGTTCCTGGATCTTATCAAGAGCGAAGGCTTGCCTGCTTAGCTGCTCGCCTTTGTCTGGCAATGCCCATTCAAATCTTACCATATCCTTGAAAGAAGTAAAAGTGCAAAGCATGTCTAATTTGACTTTGCAGGGCAGATAGTTGCCAGGGGACAGTTTGTTTCATCTTCTCAGAAACAGGTTTAGCTGGCTGTTTGTAAATGGCATTTTCTCATTTTTCTTCTCAAGGCTTCAAACTCTTCTTTCAAGAAAACAATGTACAGACTACAGTCTACTTTAGCACAGATAATTCACCGTTCTCTGTGTAAGAGGAACTTGAGGAATCAGACAGAGAAGCTCTGTGCTTTTTAGGCTGCCCTTTGGGCTCCCTGAATTTCTTGGGCTTCTTAGATTTTGTCGTCCCCCCCCCCTTTCTGTGCTTTTTTAGCAGGGGCCTCCCAAGTCTCACACACAAACTTCTCTTCTACCTTGCATCTAGAGGATTTCAGTCTGTCTGGGGAAAGCTTTTGATACCATCTCCCACAGTATTCTTGCCAGCAAGTTAAAGAAGTATGGGCTGGATGAATGGACTACAAGATGAATAGAAAGCTGGCTAGATCATTGGGCTCAACGGGTAGTGATCAATGGCTCCATGTCTAGTTGGCAGCCGGTATCAAGTGGAGTGCCCCAAGGGTCAGTCCTGGGGCTGGTTTTGTTCAATATCTTCATTAATGATCTCGAGGATGGCGTGGATTGCACCCTCCACAAGTTTGCAGATGACACTAAACTGGGAGGAGTGGTAGATATGCTGGAGGGTAGGGATAGGATACAGAGGGACTTAGACAAATTAGAGGATTGGGCCAAAATAAATCTGATGAGGTTCAACAAGGACAAGTGCAGAGTCCTGCACTTAGGACAGAAGAATCCTATGCACTGCTACAAACTAGGGACCGAGTGGCTAGGCAGCAGTTCTGCAGAAAAGGACCTAGGGGTTACAGCGGACGAGAAGCTGGGTATGAGTCAACAGTGTGCCCTTGTTGCCAAGAAGGCTTGCGGCATTTTGGGCTGAATAAGTAGGGGCATTGTCAGCAGATCGAGGGATGTGATCATTCCCCTCTATTCAGCATTGGTGAGGCCTCATCTGGAGTAGTGTGTTCAGTTTTGGACCCCACACTACAAGAAGGATGTGGAAAAATTGGAAAGAGTCCAGCGGAGGGCAATGAAAATGATCAGGGGGCTGGGGCACATGACTTACAAGGAGAGGCTGAGGGAACTTGGCTGGTTTAGTCTGCAGAAGAGAAGAATGAGGGGGGATTTGATAGCTGCTTTCAACTACCTGAAAGGGGGTTCCAAAGAGGATGGATCTAGACTGTTCTCAGTGGTAGCAGATGACAGAACAAGGAGTAATGGTCTCAAGTTGCAGTGGGGGAGGTTTAGGTTGGATATTAGGAAAAACTTTGTCACTAGGAGGGCGGTGAAGCACTAGAATGGGTTACCTAGGGAGGTGGTGGAATCTCCTTCCTTAGACGTTTTTAAGGTCAGACTTGACAAATCCCTGGCTGGGATTATTTAGTTGTGGATTGGTCCTGCTTTGAGCAGGGGGTTGGACAAGATGATCTTCTGAGGTCCCTTCCAACCCTGATATTCTATGATTCTATGAAAGAACCTCAGGGGAGAGCATGTTGGAGCATGCTCTGGGGAGTAAGGGAAAACCCCAGCCAAGAGAGGTCACAGTACCCATTTCAGAAGTGGGCAAGGGATGTTAGCATTCTGATTCACAAGGAAGTAGAGCCTTAAAGTGACCCAAAGCACTGCTCATTGCGCCTTTCCTAGGAGAAGGAAATCAGAAATAATGGGCAAATATTTGTTGCTTAACTTTTATCTAATGAACAATATATCTTGCTACTTGCTGTATAAACATTATGAGCCCTTCCCTCTCCCCCACCAGGTAAATTAAATATGAAAAAGACATACCAAAACTTTTGGCCACGGTTTACTTTTTAAGCAAATGAAACCTCCTTTATACAGTCCTAGTAGGAAGATGCCTATTATCAATGAAACAAGTCCACCATTTAGGATTGGAATTATACCATAACCTGCAAATGGGAAAAGAAAACATACTGAGTAAAACCCAATAGATGCAGGAGAGATTTCCAATTTATCTTATTTTATATTACACACTTATTTAAGATTGAAAAGGACAACTCTGCATCACTGAAAACAATTAAAGGGCTATTTGTACAGCCAGCAGTATTAGCCAAAGATATCAGGTACCTCATATGTCATTTATAGGTCCAACCAAATGTCTATCAAAAGATGCTTTCTCTCTTACTGGGATATTTACCAGTTTCCCTTTTCTGAAAATACTATTAAAAACTAAAAAACAGCCATACTGACAACCTGACCCCCTCCCTCACCAAACTTTAAAATATGTGATACCTGCTTGAATGTTGGACCTGGTGATTATACATTTCAAGGCTGAAGGGATGGAATGAAGGTTTAAGGATGCAGCCACAGCAACAGACACACAATAATTTGTATTTGAACGCAAGCTTCCAACAACATAGGTAAAGCTTTCTTCAGAGGTTTCATTCTTAATAGGAATCTGCCACGAAAACAGTATCTTATTGAAACCCGTTTGTCTAAACAGAGTTGTTAAACACTGATTAAAAAAAACGTGCATAGAATAGCTATTTTAATATCCCATTGTGAAGCTGCACAGTAGCAAGTACACCTGAGTTGTATAGTTGGGGGTGGGGGTAGAGTGGGGAGGAAGCATAGCACTTTTTCAGTTTTCGAGAGAAGGAAAGCAGTTACTAGAGCTCAAGGACTGACCCTACACTTCTGTCCACTGGATTCAATTTATTAAAAGGGTATCATTACAGATAACTCAATCTTACAAGTTCTACATTAGCAAGAAGAGGGTGCACCATAAAACGGCACTTTTGCTGTTCAGTAGAAAAGCTAGCAGTCTTGTATCTACATTCCTTTTCTCTTTCTTCAAATATATCTGTCTTCACAGTGGATTATTAAAGACTTTTAGAAGAGTCCCCTTCAATGGTTTTGATTATTATTGTTCATTATATCTGATCTCAGAAGCTTAGCTGAATTGGGTTGGGTCAGTTCTTAGATAGGGGGCCTAGATGCTGCAGAAAACAGTGAATTGAATCACTCATATTTTGGTGATTAGACACCACTGTGACAGGCACTGTGGAAATACTTCTTGCACTTCTCTCTAAGTCAGTAATGAACCCAGCCCACATTTTCATCTGGAGAGAATTCTTATTCAATGTCTGTCCCAATCTGTTGTCATGTGATACTGAACAAATGTGTGACCGAATGCACCCCTGTAGTCACACCCTACACACCAGAGTAATAATCTTTGTATGAAATATGCCTTGTAAGATATCACTTGAAAACTAATAACTGGCTTGTCAATCACATCAAGGTGAAATGTGAACAACAACATTATATGTAAAGTTATAAAGATAAGTAGAAATTAGATCTGAAATGTGTTTACCAGAAAAGTCTGGGTAAACCAGTTTCTCAAAGACAAAGGACAAGCTAATGCCTCTAGTCAGGAGGCATCAAAGTTCATGGGCAATCACCTACCAAGTGGCCATTCTTTGGCAAGGAAGGGGGAGCATGAACAAACAAATCTGCATCTTAGCAAACAACAGACTCCTTGTCTCTGTCCTCACAGTGAGAATGAACATTATCGAGGGGTAACCTTCAGGAAAATGCATTTCAGAAGGCGACTGAACTATAAAAGTGAGGGGCAAAAACACTCCAAGTTCTCTCTCCCTATCCCTCTCTCTCTTTCACCTAAGACGACAAAAGAAACAACCTTTGGACTCTTGGAGAAGATCCTGGTCTGAGAATTTGGTCAGCAATGTTACTGGAAACATGTGGCAAGAGACTTCACCTTGAACCAAATCAAGATTGTTAAGTTTTAGTACTAGGAAGCATTTTATCTTTATTTCTCTTGTATCATTTGTGAATTTAATGCCTTATACTTGTACTCACTTAAACCCCATTTCCTTGTAGTTAAATAAACTTGTTTTATTCTTTAATCAAAAGTAATCCATTGTTGTGAACCATGTGTGTAGCTTAATTTAGGGTAGCAGACTGTTGTATACTTATCCCCTTAGAGGGGCAATGGACCTAATAGATCTGGACTGTCCAGGAGAGGGCCGGATAGTACAGAACACAGGTTTTGGGGGAAAATCCAGGACTAGGAGTGTGTTGGAGTCACCCTGCAAGTGGTCACCAAGGCGGGTGGAAGCGAGTGTGAGACTGATGTGTCACTGGCAGGCTACAGCTAGACACAGATATTCAGGGTGTTACCCGCATGCTACAAAGCTGTTTCTGAGCAGCCCAAGTGGAAGATACAGCAGCAAAGCATTGTGTGGCACCCAGGATTGCAGGGCAAGGGTGACACTGCCCCACATTGGTCTTGATTACACCCTAGAATGTCATAAACCTTCAAGATTCATTTTAGAGGCAACTTCATTTTAGAGGCGGGAGAAGTGATCTCCTTATACAGTTCACTCTGGGATCCTTCAGGATGAAAGTGACAATGTAAATGTGTTCTTTACTTTTCAAGTGAGTTGAAGGAACGGCACACTACAATTTAAAATTGGGATAGGGGAGCTCCTAGAGGGAAAAAAAGGCACTTTTGATATTCACTAGCACTGAGTTTACTTTTCTTATCAATACTATGTGATACCATAAGACCTGACATACCAGAACAAACCAATGGTCTACCTAATCAGCTATTTTGTCTCTAGCAGTAGCCAATGTCAGATGCTTCAAAGGAATGAAGAGAATCCCCTACACTGCACTTCCTGGTGAATACTTTATCACTGGGGGGTGGAGTGAAGGGCAGAAGGATTTCCTCCTGTACCCAAATCATCAGTTCATGCCTCAAGAAGGCTCATATTTATCCTAAGTAGTGTAAACCACTGACAATAGTCTTATTCATATAAAGAGCTAGGATAAGATACGACAGAGCTCATCTTCAGCAAGCTTCCTTACTGCTCAAGCCAATTTATATTTTATGCTTTGTACGTTTTTCTTTAAATCTTAAAAAACTACAAGTTACTTACCTTTTCCTTTCTATCAAATGATTCCACTGTTATCGTATAATCAAGTTTTTGATATATAGCAATTAAAGAACTTTCTTTTAAATATGCGGCTGGAAGTTTTACTGTCACATTTATGCAGGCGGGACAAGCAGTAAGATTAACTGCTGGTGGACCCAAGTATGCTGTTTAAGGAAAAAGAAAACAAACCCCAAAACTATAACTATATTTATACATTTAACATCAGTTAGACAAGCTGTAAAAATCAAGTAAATTCCCATGTGTCAGATGATTGACTAATTAGTTGCCCAACAGGGCTTGAAATGATCAAAGATTAGGGGAAAATTGTTCCTCCAATTTTTTTAGCAGAGGGAATAAAAACAGAGTAAAACCTAAAACAATCCAAAAACTACCATGGGAGAAAAGGGGATTGGGAAGGAGGGTGGGAAGAGAGGGGAGTTGAGCCAAAACAGCAGCATCCCTTGTTTCTCCAGCCCCACAGAAGCCCTTCTGTGTGAATTCTGTGCAACTGAGGCTATGTTTGTTTGGCTTGGAAGAGAGTACAGGCTGATGGGGAAGGGGTGAACATTGTTTTCAGTGGCAGCATCTTCTAGTTAAACACTTGAAATACCCATATGAATTAATCCCTGCGGGTGGCCCCTCCACACACAAATACCCCTTGGAAGGTAGACAAAGGGACTAACTGTTGGCTGGGAACCACTGGCCGCAGAGCTCCAAAGGGAGATGCACTCTTGCAGGTGACTGTGAGGCAGGACCTGAGGAATACCATCCTGAGCCTGGCTTCTGCATGAATACTTTTGCCTTCAAAACAATGCCTGGAGATCCTGTTTCTCAGAATGCCTAGGGATTTGGAGAGCCATGAGTTCTGACAATTCCCTGACTTGCACTTCACTGATCCTTCTGCAAGTGCTGTGTTTTGATCTAATTAGTTATTGTCTACACAGAGCTTTGAAAAATCTAAAACATGCTATGTAAGTGCTAACTACTTGTCTGGTTCATTATTGTAATCATATAGGTAAAACAAACAAACATTTTAAAGAGCAGGGCCGGCTCCAGGGTTTTGGCCGCCCCAAGCAGCCAAAACCAAACAAACCAAAAAAAAAAAAGCCGCGATCGCGATCTGTGGCGGCAATTCGGCGGGAGGTCCTTCACTCCCAGGCGGAGTGAGGGACCGTCCGCTGAATTGCCGCCGAATACCTGGAACTGCCGCCCCTGTCCGGAACGGCCGCCCCAAGCACCTGCTTGAGAAGCTGGTGCCTGGAGCCGGCCCTGTTAAAGAGGTGGCGTTCTGACCTTGCTCCAAACAGGAGCATGCACACACTTAATACTGTCCAAATCTTACTCCCCACCCCTTCCTGTGGTTTGCCTGTTGTTTAATTTATACAAAACAACAATAAACCTCAACCTAAGCTTTCACCTGAACGTGATTGTTCCCATGGTTTTTGACTGCAAGAGTCATCTGTCTCTGCCTCAAATCTTTCTGCCAAGGAGAGAGAGGCTCCAACCCTTCCTATTTTATGGGTAGGAGTAAATCAGATGCTTTAGGGTAATGGATCAGAACAGCCCTGCATTTCTACTCAGGGTCATCTCGGTTTAAATATGCACCAGGAAAAGAAAAGAAAAGAAATAGATAAGTTGCCCTTGTTAAAACATTTACCATTTGAGCTTGGCTCTTCAGTAAACTGATAATACTTTTCTTCAACTTTACAAAACAGCGAACATAGAGGTAGCATGGGAAAGATGCTAGCGCACCCTCATCCATGAAAACGTATCCATAAATGCGAAACAGCTGGAGAACACTGTTACAGAGTAATATTTTTATTTTTCTGATACATATCTATGAAAAATAGGTGTTTGGAACAATGAAGTCTGAATACAAGGTACAATTTACCATTTCCAATTTTTTAGAACAATCTCATTGTAAGGCACTATGTTGATGAGTCAGCTGAGGAAAAGTGTTACATTATTTTCAAGTTTAGGGTTCTCTGCTTCATCAGATAAATGGGCATTGATGTTTGGACAGAAGAGGACAGGAACAAGGGTGTGTGTGGGGAAAGCTATACAAGTCAACTCAAGTTGCAATAAGGGCTACACTATTCCCTGAAGGCCTGCAAATTTGAGATGCAAAATAGCTTAACCATTATATTTAAAACTAATGGAGAAAGTTCCATTCATGAAAATGTTATCCTGGCTCGACAGCATTACAATTAAAGTATTTCAGAGTCTTTGATTTGAGTTGATACTATTTCTGTAACCTTGTACCTAACATGAGGTACAGTAGTCTCTGTGTTCAGTTTAACCACTTGCTCCCCAATATAAATGGTCCTTATTTCAGGAGAGGAAAAAAAGAAATTAGTGTGGGGATATTGTTAATAGGACTCCAGGGAGAAGCAGCCTCTAGTAGTATTAGGCAATCATTGCTAATGAGCATCTGGTGTTTATGTGAGACATACCAAAGGGGGTAGGGGGAAATCAAGGTGACAGCTAGAATGGAAACAGATATTCCTCCACCCCTCACGTTTTGTTTTTGCCTGCTCAACACTTAACCAATTAATTATCTTCAAAAAAGTAGATTATGCAATTTATAAAGGTAGTAATTTTTTAAAATTTCTACTCTCAAATGCCCTAAATGATGCTACCACCTTTATAAAAGTCTGTAATAAAAACACATAAAAGAAATTGATTCTTATATCTGCACAGTGGAAGGAAATCTATTCCAACATTTGCTTTTTCCTTCAAAACCGTTGCTTGTTTCTATTCATAAGAACTATTCAAGCCATGTATTATGTATAGATAGCTTTCCATTTATTATAAAACATTATATATACACTAGATGATATGTTAGCTCAAAACATAAAATAGTATATCACCAACTAAATTACTTTGGAGTTACTTATAGTACCATTAGTAAAACACTGGTTATGTATAGCTGAGAATAAAAACAAGACAATGAACAAATGCAGATAAAATAGAATAGTAAGTGAAAACTTACTGGACCTATATGGAGAGAATTCAAGAATAGATGAATTTAATTCTCCATGTTCTGTGACTCTCTGAACCATTGCTATGTAGGTAGAAGTATATTCTTCATACTCCTTTGTCAAGTTACAGAATAGGTGTGTGGTATTTGAACATTCTTTAGCCATTTTCCATTCCTTTTCTGATCCACTTTAAGTAGAAAGAAAAAAAAAATCAGTGTTGTTCAAAGGATCTTCTGATTTGTGACTGTACCTCTGGAGAGTAACATGAAAACTCAGAGATGCACTGGATGAAGCGATCACTGCTCTCACCTTAAACAGTGTCAAAAATAATCAAAACGACAAACACTAGTAAAATCCGTATGGTTTATTTACAGTGTACCTACATGGGGAGTGGAAGAGAGGTACATGTTTGACAAAGAAACCTGAAAAAACAAAATCTCAGACCACAACAAACCAGAATGATTAAGGGATAAAAACAAAAATGATATACAAGAAGTGTCAGTCATAAGCTTTGCACAGGATCTCCCACTCACCTCGGCAACATAAAATAAACTTCCTGAAGAGGGACCCCACTTGCTCCTCTTCTCAAAAGGCTACCCCAATCTGCTTAATCTGTTTTAGGATCATATTGGCTCCTTTCCTGGTCCATATAGGTTATGTACACACTAATTTCTTCTCAATATAACCCTACCCAAAATCAAAACACCACCACGACAAAATCTGGAAACTAACAATGTTTGCAGCCCCTCACATTTTTCACTCTGCTTGTAGGTCATACTCCGCTTCTCCTGAACCCTTCATCTTCTCTATTTAAAATGTTAACTCATTGGGGCAAGGACTCTCTTATTATGTGTTTTCACACTGCATTGCACAATAGGGCTCCAATCGGAGATGGGTCTGTACATGCTACTGTATTACAAATAATAAATAGAATGCGGGAGAATCCTTTTTACTTAAATGTGACCTGCAAAGGATTATTTAAAAAAAATAGTTTAACCCAGAAAGTTGTTTGCATGTCTCAAGACAGCCTGAGACAGAACAGCATTTGACATATAACATTGAGCACCCAGATGGGATCCCATTTCAGGTTCCTCTTCCAATGTCTCGAGTTCTGTAATGATGACACAGATCGTATTTCTGTTATGACAAAAATATTAGGAAGCCACACTGCATTATGGAACATCAAAGGTAAGCAGCATTTAAAACATGACATGGTATGTTCTTGAAAAGTTTAATTTATTTTATATTCTTAAGGTTATAAAATTGTTCTTTTAAAAAATGTGGATGTCTTTTTTTTTTTTTTAATACCATTTAGGTAACCTCTTATTGGCAGTGTCTGTTGGCTTGCCAAATTTCCTGGTACCTGTGATGGCACAGAATGAGGCATTCTGGAGTGGGGTGGGAGAACAGGAACTGAACAGTGTTACACTGGGAAAAGGGAGAGTTTGGAGTGAAATCCAAAAAGGAAAACAAAAAAATAGTTTAACTGTATTTATTTTTATTTATAGTTATCTAACCTTTGTTCGGTGTTGTTATATGCCCAGTGTCCCAGATTATGTGGGGCACTCAGCACATATGTTATCACTAGTTTGAAAAATATTTGATTTAAAGCTCAGTGTGCTCTGCACACATGCACTATCAAATATAGTATGGCTCAGCCCCAGTCAGCCTATCCATCACACTTCCAAAGGGCTCGTGGCCCAATCTCTCAGTTAAGGTACAGTACTTTGCACTGATGAAAGAATAAGAACAGAAAGTAACAGAAATTATCAACAAAAGCGGAAGTTATCATTCCTTTGATAAATACAGGTTTCTTCCATGTACAAATTTGCTCTAGGAATTAATGTGTACATGTTTAAAATTGTTCACATAGCTACTCATATCTTAAAACCTAATTCTTTCCCTTGTATCCGATGAATGGCAAATTTCAGAAAATCTATTTGGAAAACAAAATAGTCAATACAATATTTTGACTAAGTAAGAAAAAGTACAAATTCATGTACAGTACGAAAGGAAACAAACCTGAGACCTATGTATTTCACATTATAGTATGTTGGCATAGTTGTATTACTTCCTGGTTCCCATGATAAAATGTGCTGGAAATTCTGAGAGTCTATTGTTAACTTCTGAGGTGGATTTATCACAGATGCTTCTAGATTAAAAGAAAAAGTTGCTAAGATTAAGAAGCATTCGAAAAGGACAGCAAATGCAATACCATTATACATGGTAATTCTACTCACCAATTAGTTAAATATCAGCCCCCAAAAAGATAAGAAAACTACAAGATTGAAGATGAAGTCATTTTAAATTGCACATTCATTGCATTGGAGGCACAAGTGCATGGGACTGTCCTGCAGGATATTATCCATATAGCTTTCTTACATGGAAATGCACAATGAAGTCAAAAGGATGCCGGATGGAAGTATACACATCTTTTGAGCTATTTCAAGGATTGTGCTTAAAATACAATAAAAATTCTTACCTGGCAAGCTCAACAAAGTAGTGGTCAAAATGCTGAGGTACACTGGAAATGAAAACATGTGTATATATATTTATTCATTAGAGAAATGGTACATGTGTGTTCTACAGTATTTGTCAATGATAAATTAGAGTTCTTATTCATTTACTATTAGTGATACTAATCTTGTTCTCTATCTCTATCATCATTTTCCTTTCAGATTATACCATTTTTTTCTTGATGAAACTGCACTTGAATTATTTCCTTTCTGTATCAAATGCTTTTCCATTACTATCCTTAAGGAGGTGATCAGTGATAGCTCAGGTGTTTCTAAATTGCATATCATTGTGATATTTAAGCACTATATAATAATTAAAGACAGCCCCAGTAAATGGAAATGTTCTCACAGCCTCCCTTGTCCCCAGTATGTATGTGTAGGTGCTTTTTTCTTACTCTTCCCCCCATCTTGCCATCTTCTTTCTCTCCTCCAATCTTCCAGAATGTGGGATGGCATTTTCCTGGATCATTCAGATCCATGTACACTGTCACTCAGGCTCACTTTGATCTCCCCTGGTAAGGTATTACTTAGCCAGGTTCCTGCTGCTGAAAATACTCTGCTCCACAGACCCAACAATCTTAGCTTGGGTCACCCTAGTTGAAAAGTTCTTTTAGAGCACTGTCATGGAGGGTTGTGAATGGATAATTGGTTTTTGAGGTAGCTCAGACCCCAACCTATTAAGTACCTGGCAAGTCAGTGCCCAGGCCTTAAAAATTCTATCTGGAAAGGGATATGGAGCCAGTAGTACTTGAGGAATATTGGTGTGATATGTTCACATGTGCCTTGGTGGCTACATGTCAGGAGTGTGGACTTCTGAAATATTGTAGCTTGTTAGCAGTTGCAACATGTAATTCACTGCTTTCATTTACCTTAATCCCTATCTCCTTCTTTCCAAACTAAAATCTCAACGGTCTCTCTGGCATCTCCTTGTGGATGTTTAGCTGTTAGTAGAGCCCTGCGCGGATAAAAATTTATTTCTGCGGATGCGGATACTCACAGATATAAATCAGTATCCGCGGAACCGCAGGGCTGTCCCGGGAACCGCAGTGGCGAAAGGAGCAGAACGTGGGGCCGCCGCTCCCAGGAGCCAGTGGCCCAGGCCGGCAGCTCCTCCAGCGTGGCTGTACCACCCGCTGCTCCGTTCCCAGCCCTGCCCCCATCCCTTCCATGCAGCTGTCTGCATTTCCTGTCTGGGGGCGTGCGTGCCACTTGAACACAAGAGTGAGACCAGGGACAGTTGCTGGTGAGCCTGGTGCCCACCCCAGTGGGCAGGGCTGGAGGGTGGTACAGCTGCACTGGGGCGCTGGCTCCTGGGAGCGGTGGCCTCACGTTCTGCTCCTTTCGCCACTGCGGGTTCTGGGGAGAGCCGTGTGGTTCTGCAGATACAGGTTTATATCCACGGATATCCGCATCCGCGGATCTAAATTTGTATGCGTGCAGGGCTCTAGCTGTTAGCTGAAGCTCAACATGGCTGAAACTGAGCTCTGAATCTTTCCACAAAAGTAGGGTTACCATATGTCCGGGTTTCCCCGGACATGTCCGGCTTTTGGGTCTTTAAATAGCCGTCCGGGGGGAATTTGTAAAAAGCTAAAAATGTCCGGGATTTCCCCCGGACGGCTATTTAAAGAACCAAAAGCGCTGACAGGGCAGCCGCGCTGGGGGAACCGTGGCAAGCCGGTGCCGCCGGCGCCACTCACCTTTCCTCCCTGGGCCCTGGGGCAGCGCGCAGTGAGTTCCCGGCAAGGCGGCGCCAGCCCACGGGGCCCCCCGCCTGGCCGGCAGGAGCCTGCAGAGCGCAGCCCTGCCCCTGCCCCGGCACACAGAGAGGCAGGGAGGAGGTCTCGCTCCCCTGCGTGCTGCAGCGGGGCGGGGCCTGTAGACTCCGGCAGCAGGCAGCGGCCGCCGGGCAGAGAGCCCCCCCCCCTGCCCCTGCCCCCCTCACCTCGACCCGACCCTAGGAAGGGGCCAGAGGGACTGGGAGGGACCTGCCTGCTGGATGCTTCCTGGGAGCTGCTCCAGGTAAGCACTGCTGGGCTCACCTGGCCCCCTGGCAGGTCCCTCTGGGGGGGCTCCCCTCAGACCCACTGCCCTCAGGCCCCACCCTGACCCTGTTCCCTCAGCCTCCCTTGCAGTGCCCCCTGTACCCCCACCCTCAACCAACTGCCCTCAGCCCCCCTGACCCTGTTCCCTCTGCCTCCCCCACAGTCCCTCCCCCCGATCATTTCACCCGACCCACTGCCCTCAGCCCCCACCCTGACCCTGTTCCCCCTGTACCTCCCACCCCGAACCCACTGCCCTCAGTCCCTGCCCCCATTCCAACAGCCTCCCCCACAGTCCCCCTGCTCCCCGCAACCCACTGCCCTCAGCCTTGCCCTACCCCAAATCTCTTCTTCAGCCTCCCCCGTCATCCCACCCCCATCGCTCCCCCTGCTGTCCCACCCCCTCAACTTCCCCCCATTCCAGTCCTGCTCCCCTCTGTCTCATCCCCTCCAGACCCTGTCCCTCTCCCCAACCCTCCCCAGCCCAGCCCCATTGTCTCCCCCGCCCTGCCCCACTCTACACAGCTCTCTCTACCCTGTCCCATTCATGCTCCCCTCAGCCCCTACCCTACTCCCCCCATCCCAGTCCTGTCCCATCCCCCTCAGGCCCCCCAGTCCCAGTCCTGTCCCTCTCAGTTCCTCCACCCTGCTTCCCCTGGTCCATCCCCACACACCCACCGACTCCCTCGACCTCCCTCCCCCCCAATCCCACTGCCTGGACCCACCCCCGTCCCACTCAGGACATGCATGAAAAAGAAGCAATGGGCTTAAATTGTAGCAAGGGAGATTTAGGTTAGACATTAGGAAAAACTTCCTAACTGTAAAGATAGTTAAGAACTGGACAAATTACCTAGAGAGGTTATGGAATAGCAGTCATTGGAGTTTTTTAAGAGGTTAGACAAACACCTGTCAAGGATGGTCTAGTTGTTATTACTCAGTCCTGCCTCAGTGCAGGGGTTTGACTAGATGACCTGTTGATGTCCCTTCCAGTCCTACATTTCTGTGATTCACACTGAATTGCCTTGTGCCACTGTCTAGTAGTAGTGGCACACAGTTCTCTGACATGCAGGTTTATGAAATTGTAGTTAATATACAGTTTAGAGCATAGCAATTTTAAAGCTCTGCATGTTCAGACCAACTGAGCTGAAAATTGTGATCTATAGTATTCAAAACTATTAAGATGTGGGCTGAAATAAAATCAGCATGAATTGCTCAACAATATCAATGGAATCAGCATTGCGCTGCTATATATTGTAAAACATTACAGTGAAATCTTGCAAGTTGGGCAAGGTGGCGTGCTAACTAAGCACAACATCTTCCTGTTTCAACATTCTTAACTTGTATCCCTCCTGGAAGTTGTTTTTTTTCAAACACTGAATGCTGCTAAGTTATGAGTTTTAACAGGTTTTTTTTCTTTTAAACCACAGCACTGAATGTTATTCTAAAATTGTTTTCCAAATATTCTTAAACGCCCAGTTTATCCTCCGCTGATGTTCATTGTGAAAAGTATTGCAGGTCTAATAATAATATTTGGCACTTCTGTAATTCACTGTCCAACATGTGTTTTGTGCCCTCCTCTGGTGGATTTTTAGAGGATAACTGTATAGCTACAGGGAGTTATATCTTGAACTCAAGTAGTAGAAGCTCATGCTTTTAAGTCTGGATGGCTCAGGTTCAATCTTTGGTGACTAGCTATGATGGAGGTTGCTACACTTATAATCCCTTTAATCAGAAGTTCTGAATATGCTTTGTTGTGGGCAGAACTAGCCTATAGTTAAGCAACTGAAAATTTAGACTGGGAAGTGTTGAAATGTTGGGAAGCCTTATAATTTTGCCAATCTGGAACGAACATCCCATCTGAGTGATGGGGGCAGGGAGAGAGGAGAGTGAGACAGGACCGGGAAACTGGGACAAGGAATCCAGAGTGGTAGTGGGGGGCAGTTGAAATCAGATGAGGAGCTGGGGCGGGTTAGACAGCAATAGGATAGACATAGACTGGAGGGGACGGGGAAGAAGGGTCTTTGACTACTAGAGACCACTCCGTTCTCCGAACATTTGATTCGCGGGAAGCAGGGGAGGGGGAAGAGTAGGGGGTGAAGCGTTCAGGGGAAGGGGCGGAGTTGGGGCGGGGACTTTGGGGAAGGGGCGGAGTTGGGGCGGGACCGGGGGCCCTTGGAGTGTCCTCTTTTTCCAGGACTGCAATATGGTAACCCTACACAAAAGCCATCCACACTCCCTCCTTCCTCGATCACTGTGGACACCACCAGCATCTTGCCTGTCAGTCAGGCCTATTACCTGGGCATCATCTTCAATTCGGACCACTCTCTAGGTACCCATGTCCCAGCTATGTCTAAATTTTGCAGATCCTTTCTGCAAAACATCTCTAAAATATGCCCTTTCCTTTCATCCACACAGCTAAAACCCTCATCTAGAGTCTCAACATCTAGTGTCTCAACTGCTGCAACATCCTTTACTCTGGCCTCGACAAAACACAGTCTTGCCCCACTCATATCCACTCAGAATGCTGCTGCAAATATCATTCCCTTAGCCCATTGCTTTGACCACATTACCCCTCTCTGGCTCCCTCTTCTTTATCGCATCAAATGTACGTTGCTTGTATTCACTTTCAAAGACCTTCACGGTCTATCCCCACCCTCCTTACCATCTCTCATTTACTATTCAGATGTCAACCCCCACCTTCAACTGGCCAATAATACCAGCCTCCACTGCCCACTTGTTAAATTTTCAAACCAGCACCTTTGTACCTTCTCCCATCCTGACCCTCACACTTGGGAAGAGCTCCCCATAAACACCCACAAAGTTACCTCATCGTCCTCCTTCAAATCTTTCCTTAAAACTCTCATTTACCGTGATGCCTCCAAAAAATCAACAAGTAGGCCACTGTTGCACTGATACCACTGCCTATCATGCTGACCAACATTGGCTCTTTTTTTTTTTTAATACTCCTGCTTGTTGGTATCTACCTGTTATACTTCCTATCTTATACTTCATTTGTAAGATCTTTGGGGCTTGGACAACCTTTTTATTTTGTTTGTACAGCACCTAGAACAATGGGGTTCTGGTCCAGGGCTAAGGCTCCTAGATGCTACAATAAATAATAATATAACCATTTTAAGCTTTTAACAAAAGTCACAGCATGGAAGATTTTGAAAGGATGAAAGGAGTCTTAGGACAAAACTTAAAATACATGACCACTGAATGGAGGACTGTAAATTAAGGCAAACCCACCTTAAATCAAAGTGGGTTCAAGATTCTAGTGGGACATCAGCCCAGATTAAGAAGGAGGTTAATAAGCTTGGGCACATTGGAAGGAATTATCCAGCATTGATATAAGTTAGTAACATTTTTGTATTAATTGTCTGAATATTCTATTAGGGAAAGTAATTCTTGTTTTAATTTAAAAGTGTCAGTCTATGAGAGGAGGGATATACAACTTAGCAGTGAAATAAACTACATGATCACAATGAAGACAAATGAGATACAAAATAAAGTGAAATGTTCTCAGAGGTCTAAAAATATTTTCTGAAATAGCAAATTACTTGCTACAATTGAAAAGACAAGCTTTTAACTCAATCATGCATGCTTATAATGCTACATGTAATACAGTATAACATTTGATTGTACACGGAGAAAGACTTCCAGTCTAATTATTTCCTGGAAATACCCCCTAATTGCTCTTATTATAGTATAAATGAAGTGTCCTAATTACTGAAATTAAACAATAAGATACCAGTGTAGAATCCTTGAAACTGCAGACAAATGTATTTATAGACATTTCTGTGATGTTCTTCACTATCGTAACTAAATGCCTCGCACATAATAAATTTATCCTCCCAGTATCCTTGGGAACTGACGCACACAGAGATTAAGCAATTTGCTCAAAATCACACAGTAAATCGGTGGTGGTGCCCAACAGAAACCTTTTCTCTTGAGTTCCAGTCTGTGACTTAACCACAAGACATCCTTCCTGTCACACTCTTTCCTCCTCACTATGACTGCACAACAAAAATCCACAATAGAACGGTGGTTAAAGAGAGTAGAAAGTCAAGAGAACTAGAACAATTTATTTCCTGCATTAGATTATCAACTATTTTATAAAGTTTGGTCAAGTGGGATGAATAGTAAAACACTGCTTTAAAAATAAATAATTGCTATAACTTTTATAATATGTAGAGTAACATATAAGTTAAGATTTTAAGCTTTTGGGGGCAGGAACTCTCTCTTCCCATAGATGTAGCAGCTAGTATATTTTGGGTGCTTCCACTACACAAATAAAATAATATTACTACTGCCTTGTTAGGATACTGATACAGCTTCCAACGAAATAAATAGAAAGTTTTCAAGTGACTTCAGTGGGAGTTGGATGAGGCCCTACCACTTCTGTAAGAAGATAAACACTATTGTTGATACAAGTTATCTTTAATTTAAAAAATAGTAACTAAAACTACAGCTATAAAACGTATCAATTTTGTAGAAGGTTTAGTCTCTGTCCTCAACAGTTAATATTTTTTTAAAAGTGTAACTTCTTTGGCAAGCACAATGGGTGAAATTCCTATTCTGGAGAATTCACATTGCCCTCAACAACCGAGTTTCCTTACAACAACAGAAACTTGGCAAGCCTTAACATGAAATCATATTTGTCAGCAATATAATAAGATTCCAGGACTATCACTCTATGTGTCACTATGAAACCTAAAACGTCTGCTGAGCCAATGCGAAGCGATGGAAGCAGCCACAAGAATGGTAGAGGATTCTTTTTGTTCAGAATATCACCAGGCTAAACCATCACTGGGTTTTGCCGTCTTTTACCATCCAATTATTAAGTTTTCAGCTAGTCTGACTTTACAAATTATACAGTGTGGTGTACAGATACTGTAAATTAAACTTGTGCGGTATACCTGTATTCTACAGCTAATTTGCATTCAGCAATTTCATTAGTTGTATGAGGGAGACTGCACCACTGGTGGATTAGTTGGCCCAACCGCTATACCTGTGCACCAACCGCCATCCACACAAGTCAATACAAATCTCCCAGCACAGTTCCTTAGACGCCAACCAACACAATTACCCTGTGACGGGGTAAACCAGACCCTCTGAGGCCCCCTGCTAGAGACCTCGAGGCCCTGCCATACCCCACCCCAAAAAAGGGCAGTGGAGAGGGTCCTCCAAGATGTCTAGAGTGGCTGTGTGGGACACAGCCAATCAGGGCCCAGCAGCCTAGTATAAGAAGAGCTGCAGGGCCATAGGGAGTTCAGTTCCTTGCAGGAGCTGAAGGAGTATGGATGGTGTGTGGCTGGCTGACAGAGGTACAGGACCTCGGATGAGGTAGTGCTGCCAGAAGCCAGGGAGAGCGAGAAGGAGCCCTGAGCTGGTTGTGGGGACTCTATCAGGACAAGGCCCTGAGGTAAGGGTGAAGATGGCACAGGGCCACGGGGAAGTGGCCCGGGAATTAGAGCAGCAGCATGACTTAGATAAAGGGACACAGCGACAGCTGCTATCTACAGTGTCCCTGGGCTGGGACCCGGAGTAGTAACGGGCCTGGGTCCGTCCGCCCATTAGCCACTGGGAGAAGTGGCCTGGACAGTGAGGCACCCCAGAGGGGGAACTGAACTATAGTGGCCCAGATGGAGAGCTGTAGCCAGGAAGCCCCAAGAGGGTGAAGACATTGTTTCCAGAGGAGGGACAATCGGAGAGAGAGAGGAGTGAGTGTGCAGGCGCGCACATGGCCAAGGGGGCGCTCAGAAGAGGTAAGTGCACCCCGTTACATACCCATATAACAAGGATGCACAATAATGCCAAACACACCGACCCCCCTCACAACAGCATGTGCCCCTCATTCACCACACGCACAAATCAACACAAATATCCCAGCACAACACCCTCCAGACACAACGCCACAAGTAGAACACACAATGACATCAAATGTCACTCTGAAGCTTAGAACATCTGTTGAGTTAGTGTGAAGTGATCAAAACAGCTATAATCATGGATGAGAGCTCTTTCTGTTTAGGTCATCACAAGGTTTAGTCATTACTGTTGGTGACCAACAGCAGCCATTTTGGACCTTTTTTAAAAAACAAAACAAAAAACCCCCACAGCTTTACAAATTACACCTGTGCAACAGCGCCAGCTTTCAGCTACTACTTTCCTTTATAGAGTGCTCTTTCTTCAGTATGATTGAGGTCCTGAATAGATACAAAGTTGTACCACTTCAACTATACTGGTCCAGTTGAAGTAGTACAACCTGCTAACGTGGATGCAGTTACACTGGTATAAAAGTGCTTATTCACGTACTGGAAGAGGAATAAGCTATTGTGGTAGAAGACACGTTTATACCAGTATAACTGCATTCATACAGGGGATTGTACCAGCAAAGCTATTTCAATATTATTTTTTAAAATCACACCCTTAACCAAAATAGTGATATTGGTACACAATGTGTGTGTGTGTGTGTGTAGTTCTGGCCTCAGATAGCAAAAGAAACAACAAACTGGAAGACGCTATATCTTGATTTAGATTAGAGGAGGAGGAATGAGAATGCAAAGGGATATGATCTGCAAGTTAAATGGGGAATCTTCAGGACGAATAAATTCACCGCTTATTCTGTTGCTTTTTCGACAGAGTTAAATTAATCTGCCAAAGCAGTTTCCTGTTAAAATGGCAGATGAGCCAGATTTTTTAGTTGTATAATGTTAGGGTAGGACCCTGATAAATTCCAGTGATTTTAAATCATACAGCAATAGTGTACAAAAGTTTAGGACAGGAAATGAAAAATCCTCTATCCATCTGAAAGTACAGGGGAATTTAGGGATGCAGAATGCAACAAGTTCTTCCAGAGCACCCCTCTTCTTATAAAAAATGCCATGGAAACTTTACTGACCACTAGCATGATCAGCACTGCTATTTCTTTGTACTGTATACACAATTAAGTAACTTACCAAGTTGACAAAAACTCAGTGGTCCAATCAGTACTGCCATCATGATTTAGAAGCACATCTTATTGATTGTGAAGTACTCATTTTACTTCTGGATCTGCAATTATACCAAGCAAAATCAACTTCAGCATAATTACTGGATGATTAATATAAAAGCACAACAGGGCTTCTGTAGTAAGAGGTGATATCACACCTTTAATGTCGTGTGAGAACTGGGATGAAACAGTATCTTTAACATGAGATAAGCAGGGTTTGTAGTGTTTCAAATAAACATAGGCAAACATTTGTTTAAAGAAGAAGTATTTTCATTACGGGTTTATATGAAAATGGTGTGACAGACTGACAATATTCTGAATGAACTTTATCAAATTAAGTTGAACATCTTTGGGGTCCATTGTATTAAAAACACAATTCTGTCTGTGTTATTGTGGACCTGTATGTTTGTACCTTCTCTTGGAGACTGACTAATCTCTGGAAGCTTTTACAAACTTCAAAGGACTTTTTGGAACAATACCTGTGAACTGGATATCCTAGGAAGTACCTGGGGAATGCAAATGACCCACTTCCAATCCTCCATTTTCAAACTACACCGTGGGGAGAAAAACCCAGTGTCTACTAATTCCAAAAGTTGCCATTAATGAGATTCTGGAAGTAGTCACTCCACAGGGACTGAAACCATGCTTATTGCATCACAATTACTCTGGGCTGGTCAAGTGTAAAGGCTGGACATCACCAGGATGCCAAAGTAGTTGCAGTGTGGCAAACTGAAATTGGGCAACTGCCTACAAAGTGACCAAAAGAAATGCTTCAAGGACCCATTGAAGCGTAATTTGAAACAATGCAACATTAATGCTTAGAGACATCAGAAACAGATAGATCACTCTGGCAAGCAGCAGTCAATGATGGGGATACCCAATTTGAGATTAACTGCTGTAGGGATCTTGAGGCACAGAGGCTGAGCTGTAAACAGCAGCAGACTCAGGAGACACAGATTGTAATCCCTTCCTCGGTATCGCACTACGTATGCAATTCATGCAGAAAGGACTGCCACTCTTTCCTTGGCCTTTTTAGCCACAATTGTACCCAGAAGACATAAAATAGCTGCTGGAGTCATCTTCGGCTATGAAGGACAACAACAACAGGCGTTAACTCTGGTAAGCTAATTAGCATGTGTGTGGGTTCTTTTATTGTTTTAAATGTTTTCTCGGTAATGTTTTTTTACTGAGAATAAAGTAGGCTGTAGCAATTACCCTGTTAACGGTATCTGAAGAGAAAGCAAGCAAGTTCTGTTTGGGCAGCCGGCCTCTGCCGAGGATAACACAACGTAGGCAGGAAATGATGCAGCCTGGAAATACCCGTTAGGTGGGAGAGGAACACGTTTCCATCCAAGTGGGGGAACTGCTGGGGAACTGGGACCCTAGAGTGGGTGCCCTTGCTGGAACACTGAGGTGAAATACAGGTGCAGATGCCTTGAACTGTGACAGATGGCAGTTGGGAGCACTATGCCACTAGATCCAACATAAAAAAGGTGAAAATTAAAAATGGTTTGACTGTATGTGAAATGCTATTAAAATCTGTGGTTATAACAATGAATGTTTCTGGAAAGATGTGGAACATGAGGGGAAATTCAAGATGCACAAAATTATAAACTCTTATTATATTGCTCTTGGCCATAGATGTAATTATTCTACTATCTTAATACTGGTAAAATAATACTTGCAGGATGTAGCCTTAAGTTCCAAACAGTGCACTAAGTTCCATTTTTGCAACCTAATTGCTTTCAATGAATAGCTATAAATGAGGGCATAATTTGTGCTGAAGAATCCTTATTTCTGGTGAGAATGTTTGAGCCAGAAACAACCATTTTACTTTCATGTCTCGGGGAAGTTTACAAGTTAGACAGTTAGAAAAAACAACTTTCTACTTTTTAGAAATCCTAGAAATGTAGGGCTGGAAGGAACCTGGAGAGGCTATCAAATCCATCCCCCCGTGCTGAGGCAGGATTAAGTATACCTAGGCCATTCCTTACAGGTATTCAAATATTTATCTATCCTGTTCTTATAAACCTCCAAGAATGGGGATTATACAGCTCCCCCATGTATCCTGTTCCAGGAAATAACCATCCTTACTGTTAGAAAGTTTTTCCTAATATCTAACCTAAATCTCCCTTACTGCAAATAAAGGCAATTACTTCTTGTCCTACCTTTGCTGGACAAACAGAACAATTGATCAATCAAACTGTACAATTTATAACCATCTTTCCCATATTTAAAGAAATATTTCCCCCCATCCTCAGCCTTCTTTGGATTAAGCATGTCCAATACGTTCAACCTTTCCTCATAGGTCATGTTTTCTAAACCTCTTATTTGTGTTGCTCTCCTCTGACTTTTTCTAATTTGTTCGTGACTTTCTTAAAGTATGTGCACCCAGAACTGGGCACAGTACTCTAGCTGAGGCGTCACCTGTGCCAAGTAGCACAGGACAATTACTTCCCGTGTCTTACAAATGACATTCCGGTTAATACATCCTAGAATGATATATGCCCTTTTTGCCACAGCATCACACTGCTGACTCATGCAATGTGTGCTCCATTATAACCCTTTTCTGCCATACTGCTGTCTAGCCAGTTATTTCCTATTTTACATTTGATTTCTTTCTTCCTAAGTATAGTACTATGCACTTGTCTTTACTAATTTCAGACCAATTCATCAAGATAATTTTTAATTCTAATCTTGTCCTCCAAAGTGCTTGCAACCCCTCCCAGGTTGGTGTAATCTGCAAATGTTATAATCCACTCCATTATCCAAGTTATTAAGGAAAATATTTAACAGCAATGAGCAAACTTCCTACAGATGTCACTGAAAGACAATAAATGGAACCTCACAATGCTATTTTTACAGTCACTTTAAAGAGCAGAAGTACACTTTAGTAGCATGTCATTTAAGGATCCAATCCTTCAAAGGTATCTATCTATTCAAAATGGGCTTCCCAAGGCAGCCTCTTTGCAGGATCTTGCCCCAAGGCCCTGATCCTGCAAACATTTATGCACATGTTTATCTGTACTTACGAGTAGTCCACTGAAGTCGGTGAAAATACTCATGTGCAAAGTCAAGCATAAATGTAAACATTTTTAGAACCAGTGCCTAAACCAGCAATGGAATATTTGTTTTGAAAAGTGATAGAAAACTCTTCAACAGAAAGCTTAAGGCTAAGACATGATCAGCTACTGAATGAAACCATTTTTCAAGTTTGCACAACATCTGCATTACTGTAAATGTCATAATAATTTCCAAAACATGGATATATTTCTTTTAATCCTAATCCTTACAATAAATCACAAGATACATGCAAAGCACTGAATATTTAGTACTATGCAAAGTAGGTGTATTAGTTACCTTTAGGATTCTGCTCTAAATATTATGCTGAATAACCAAAGTAACAGGCATGTCCATACAGTCAGGCATATGATACAATGAATAATAAATTTACCTTTAAAATGATACAGGTTTGAAATCAAGTTACATGTTAACAAGATTCAGTACTTTGTAATTAAGCAGTATAGCTTGTTGGAAAATTTTCAACTAAATATTTTTTCATCAGAATTAGCATATTCAGCAAAATCTAAATGTTCTATGAAGATGTGTCTTGATGAAATTCTGACAGAAACCAGGCAGATTTCCTGCCAGATTTCCTTCCTCCTGGGTTGCTAGGACTCTGGGCAGGTTGGGGAGCATCAGAAACATTTTGAAAAGGTCAAAACAAAATGCCTTTTCAATGTTTCTGAAACAAAACTTTTTTGGATCTCAATTTTGTGGAGAATTTTGAAATTTTGGTTTTGTTCCATGTCAGAATGAAACCAGATTTTGAAATTTCAAAATCCTCCTTAACTGAATTACTGTTCCCTAACCACCAGTATTAAGCAGCCATGTTGAGGTGTGTTGAAACTTTTTAATCCAGGGAACTAAATTAAACACACACACACACACACACACACACATATACATATTTCTGTACCTGCAAGGTCTAAATACACATACAAACAACCCTGCAGGAAAGGAAGAAAAAGGAATGAAAATGGGAATATCAAAGAATGAAAAAGAAGCCTTTAGCAGACAGAAGAAACACTACAAGGAACACATTACACAACATTTAATATAAATGAAAGGGATTAAACATTAAATAAAATATTACACATAATACAGAGGTAAACATCAGTACAATGCGGCATCCGTGACATCATCCGAATTTATATCACTGTAAATGCTATAGTCTACAGCAGGGGTCGGCAACGTTCGGCACGCGGCTCGCCAGGGTAAGCACCCTGGCGGGCCGGGCCAGTTTATTTACCTGCTGACGCGGCAGGTTCGGCCGATCGCGGCCCCCCACTGGCCGCGGTTCACCGTCCCGGGCCAATGAGGGCGGCGAGAAGCCGCGGCCAGCACATCGCTCGCCCGTGCCGCTTCTCACCACCCCCATTGGCCCGGGACGGCAAACCGCGGCCGTGGGGGCCGTGATCGGCCGAACCTGCCGCGTCAGCAGGTAAATAAACTGGCCCGGCCCGCCAGGGTGCTTACCCTGGCGAGCCGCGTGCCGAACGTTGCCGACCCCTGGTCTACAGTGATACACTACACTCCAACGGGTTAGTACTGTACAAAGAGGAGATAAATGCAATTGTTAAGATAAATTCTTACTTTCTAGAGTCCCTCCGTGACACTGACAGGTCATCTTAAACACATAAACAGGCATACCCCAAGCATTAACAGAAGGTAGTTTCACCATCCCTATAACACATGTATTTCCAAGTATTAATGAAACAGTAGCAACCTAAGAAAAGTCACCTCAATTCATTCAGTTGTTTGGATGTGATGTCTCTTATAAATAGTCGGCGCTTAGAAGCAGCAGAAAACACTGCTTATGGAATTATAGTGCATATTAATTATAATCTGTGATGTAGCATAAGGGATTACATATGGATAAAACTGTCCTTCTGAAGTTATACATCAACCTAGAAAAATTCTTACTTGAAAGGAATTTTATCTGCCCTTTTGTAAAATGGGAGAAATTCAAATCTAAAAAGACTAGCTACAGCATTTAATG